GCTTACAAACGAAAAAAAAAAAGAGTTTTGTAATTATACGTAGAATGAAAATACTTTTGAGTTTGTTTATAAGTTAAGGAACTTAATTTTTAATAAACAAATTTTTACGAAAGTTTATTATAAACAGATACGATTCAAATTATTAAATATACTTAAATTATTTCAGTTGAGTATTTTTTTAAGTTTGCACGATTAAAGTTTGGCGTAATAGTATTTGTTTTTTTGTTTTAAGAATAATTAACAAAAGAGATTGCATAATTAAGTCTTTTATATTTAATTTAATTTTTTTTTTTAATTTCCTAAAATTAAAAAAAAAAAAGATTTAATCGTTGAAAACGATTTTTCTCTATAGCGCTGTTTCTTTGTGATTTGTTTAAAAAGTTAAATATTTTTACAATAACATAAAAAATTTATGAATTAAATTCCTAGCGAACGCGTTCTAAACTATGTATCAAAAATATGCTCAAAGCAGACTAAACTTTTTTATATTTTTATAAAACGCAAGTTGAAACGCTTTTAAAAATTTTAAAAATATTTAAAAACTTAAATTTTTCTTTGCTAGTCAAAACAAAATCGTTGTTTAAATAATTAACATGGGTTTGTGTTTATCAATGTTAATATTTTTTGTTTACTCTAGAAATTTTTAAAAATAAAAAAAATCATTATTATTTTTTATTCAATTACGATTAAAAACAATTATTCAAAAACAAATTTCAGAAATAACTAATATATATATATATATATATATATATATATATATATATATATATATATATATATATATATATATATATATATATATATATATTTTACTAAATAATATTGAACTAAAATTAATAATAAAATTGAAAACATTACAAAATTTTCATAATAAATTTATATTTAAAACGTTTATAGTTTATATTTGAGTTAATTGTTAAATTGAACTAGTTTGCGGTTATTTATTTATTGCGGTAGTTAAAACACTTAACGTCAAAAAAAAAAATAAAGATAATTTTATGACGTCAAAATCGCGTTAAGCTAATGCATTAAGCACTTTTTTATTTAAAACAAGGCCTGCACTTACTAAAGCCTGTTTTGATAAGCATTTGCTCACTTTTTCTGCTTACCTTAAACTACACCGTTTTTTTCGAAAAAGAAGAAGAAAAAACGAAGAATGATGAATGAAACGATTGCTTCCCTATCCCAAACCCTCAGTCTATGTAGCAGCACTCCACTGCGAGTCAGGCTGTTTGTCAGTCGATGTATGTACTGAAGCCCCCAGCAAAAGGCTCTTTCAGTATGACGTCAGATTGCTTACCTTAGTACACAATACTATTTGTACATATATATATATATATATATATATATATATATATATATATATATATATATATATATATATATATATATATATATATATATATATATATATATATATATATATATATATATATATATATGATATGATATATATGGCATATGATATATTTTTTAATTTATGTCTCAATTAATAGTTTAAGCTTAATTTAATAAAAAAACGTTTCAATTAATTGTTTAAAGCTAATAATTTTCCCTATATTGCTGCATTTATGTAGCGCTTAGGTTGATTTTGTCATTTATGAAATCTGACTGTTATATCAGCATTGGATGGATTCAAATCCTGTAAATAGATAATTTTTTTTTATCTTTTATTTACTTTGTAGACATTAGAAAATATCAAAGTTTAAAATTTTAAAATAATTTTGTAGGTAAAATTTGGTACTTAAAATGCGAATAGCGTAACACTTCTTAACAAGGCCTTAACATGCATACCATCAAATGGGGTAATATGGCCACATTTTTACCGTTTTTTTTCACAATAATTTGCTAAATATAAGAGCTATAAACTTGTAGATTTTATTCAAGAATAACTCATACAAAATGCACATTATAAAATCCGACTGTTATATCAGCATTCAAATGGATTCAAATCCATCCTCATACAAAATGCACATTACAAAAATCAGCAATGTAGCTTTAAAACTTTAACCAAAGTTTTAAATGAAAATCATTTTTGAAAAATCCTAAATTAGTGTAATAAGGCCACTTAACAAAAAAATCTAGTTTAAACAACAGGTTTCCACATATTGTGGCCTAACCACTTAGATAATTTCTAAAAGTGGATCAGGAAACTTAGGTCTCAGAGGCCTTTTTAATGGGAATGCCAGCAGCCAAAATACCATGGCCTTCATAGCATTGTCCTTGCTCTAAGAGGTAGTTATTGCATGTGTAACCTTTCTTTGGTTTGTATGTTCCTGTCTCTTGCTACATAATAGTATTGACAGAGGTTATTTGCTGGGGATAGGTCAGTATAACTGATCATAACAGGAATATGGTCCACAATTTGATTACACTAGACGAAAGAAGTTAAAAAATGCTTCAATTTTGAAGCATTTTTTAACTTCTTTCCTTAATCAACTGAAGTTTTTTTATTTGGCTTTAAATTTCAAATTCATCAACATCATCTATAGATTATCTATAAGTATTATATGTCCTTATTTTATGTCCTTATTTGTCCTTATTTTATGTCCTTATTTTGACTTTTTGACTAACAATACTTATAAGTTGGTTTTCAAAAGTTTAGTTTTTAGAAAATAATGTAGCTTTTTTGAAGGGCCAAACAATGAAAAAGGAGTGTCCAAAAAATTCATCTGCTATTGACTAAGACTTTTGGGTCAATAGCAGTTGAATTTGAATGGTACCAATTTAATAGCAAACCTCATATTCAGATTTGTTTTTAATGGTCTTAATTTTTATGGTTTTTATGTCTTGGGAAACCCCTGATAATTAATTTTATAAGTTTTTTTTTTTGAAATCTAGTAAGATTTTATTATACAGAATGCATTTAGGCGGTAGGAGCAAGCATTTTTCAAAAATATTGCTTTTAACAATCACTCTCGTATTATACATTACAACATGTTGTATTATATTATGACGTATAATACATTATTGTTACATATTTTCATACCTATATTTGTTTCAGCCTATGCTACTAACTAGCAAAATTTTGTTTTAGCCTAAACTTCTAACTAGCGAACTTTTGGATATTGTTGGATCACATTTTAACCTAAAAGAAAAAGAATATTTTGGATTCTATTACTATGATATCAAGTATTTGTTTTTGTTAACTGCTGTTTTTGTTGTTGTTTTTTTTTTTTTTGCTTTTTTTTTTGTTGTTGTTATATTTTGGTTTTTATATTTTGTAACACTTCTTGTATGCAGTTATTTTTTTTTATTTTGATATTATTATAGGAAAGTTTCTAGTCTTTTATAAAACTTGCTATAAATGTTTTTAAAGTATGTATTGTCAGTTTGACTATTAGAATATAATATTGTTGAGTTTATAAATTGTTAACAGATAATTAAAATAATAGTAGATGCTGGTATAATATGAAGAAATAATTACTGAAAGTTACTTCAACTTATTGTAACTTAACAGAATAAGAAGTATGAGAATGAACTTTAACAGCCAAAACAAATGGCAATAGTTTGTTTGAATGGGGAATATGAGGTTATTTGTAGAAAAGAGAAATGGTTTCCATTCATTGATATAGAGATATCAAGATTATTGCTATGGTGATTAGCCCAACTCATTGACTGATTTTTATTTTAGTTCAATTTTATTAGTTTTTCTGGGTTTTTACGGAATCAGAGAGTAGAAATCTGATTCAAGATGTTTTAAATCATCAAATAGTTTTTTATCAAGACGAAAATATATAGTTACATCTTTTTTTACATTTTTACTCTTAACAAGTCTGCTTAACAAGTTAACAGAAAGCAAAGTTAAAAGGTTAACAAAAAGCTGAGAGTTAAAACACAAAAGAACATTTTTATAAGTTGGCATAAAAAAATGAAATAGTATGGGTAGGCAAAGCGCGATGATAGAAGAGAGTTCTAAATAATTGTTAGAGAAAAAAAAGGACAAAAGTTTTTTGAGCTTGAATGAACATTTTGCTTAATGGCAATGGATTGTGTATATATTTTCCGTGAGAGGTAAGTAAGAAAAGAAAATCTGAAAAGGTAGCTCAGTTAAAGAATAACCTTGTTTTTCAAAACTGAAAAAAAAAAAAAAAAAAAAAAATTTTTAGTAAACTTTTAACTGAAATTTAAAAGTATACTAAAAGATTTCCAAAATTTTCTGCATATTTGTCAATTAATATATTTTCAGATTTGAAAAATTTTTTTTATCAAAAAATTTTTAAAATCTTAAACTTTCAAAATTTTACATTTCCTTATTTAACCCATTTTTACATTTCCTTATTACTTAATTTTAAAATTAGATGAAACTTTAAAGATTTGTGAAAATGCAGCATTATAAAGATTTATGAAAATGCAGCATTATAAAGACTTGTGAAAATGCAGCATTATAAAGATTTGTGAAAATGCAGCATTATAAAGACTTGTGAAAATGCAGCATTATAAAGATTTGTGAAAATGCAGCATTATAAAGACTTGTGAAAATGCAGCATTATAAAGATTTCTGAAAATGCAGCATTATAAAGATTTATGAAAATGCAGCATTATAAAGACTTGTGAAAATGCAGCATTATAAAGATTTGTGAAAATGCAGCATTATAAAGACTTGTGAAAATGCAGCATTATAAAGATTTGTGAAAATGCAGCATTATAAAGATTTGTGAAAAAGCAGCATTATAAAGACTTGTAAAAATGTAGCATTATAAAGATTTGACTATTATAAGTTACATTTTTACTGTTGTAAGTGATATGACTTTTTACTTACCATATAGTGCGGTTAGATGTTTTAGAATAATCTACTTTTTAAAGTTTGCAAATTTTTCATTCAATATCAGAAAATTTAAAATTTCTTAAACTGAATAATCAACTCATGGGTAATTCCATGTAAAACTAGGACAAAAAATTGAAATTTTTCAGTCACCCTCTCAGATTTCTTTCAAATTTTACCCAGTGGTACCTATCAATGTAACATGAAAAAATGTAAAGTTTAAGCTCCTGAATCCAAACGGTACAAAAGTTATGAAATTTTGAAATTTAGCCTAAAACGCCCTATTTTTTTCCATATCTGCCATTATGAAGTTTGCAGTAGTATTTTTTAATAAATTATTTAAGATCTAGTGGGATAATGTGGCTGGAAATTGGTACCTGACCATTTTCAAGGGTGCTAAATTTAGAAATGAAAGAAAATAGTGAAATTTAAAGTTTTTGATGGTTACTTTTTGATTTTAAAATGGTCAGTCAAATTTTTTGTTCTGTTACCAAAGGTTGCGCTTTCATTAACTCCCGGATTTGCCCAAGTCTCATGGATTCAATTTTTTTTTTCAAATGAAGTAGGTGATCCTAGGCTATCTTTATAAAAAAGATGGTTTAGGTTTCTTGAAGCATTATAAAGATGTCATTTTAAAATTTAGACAAAAATTTCTGGGCTCACAATAATTAATGTCAAACCAACAAATTGTCTTCATCATAAACATGTTTATTTGAAGCATTATGCACCTAATTTAATAGTCATAACAAAGTTATAAAAGGTATTTATAGTAATCCCAACTTTTAGTTATGTAAAAATGTTGTGAGTTACAATAATGAAATTCTTTGCAACCAAATTCTATTTTAGCTATATTTAACTTAACTTCTGAAAGTGCGCTTTAAACTTGAAATGATTTTATTCAAATTTTTTATACATATTAAAAAAAGTTCTTCCCTTTTTTTAGGCAGTTTTTATGAAATCAACTTGGATACAGCAAAGTATTTATGCAATAAAGGCAAATTTGTAATGCCAGGTGAAAAACTTTGTTCACAATGCAGACATAAATTAGCATCAAGTGAAGAATCAGGAGAGAACAAGTTGGAGATAAAATTAACTGAAGATAATATGCAAAAAGAAATTATACTGGAATCAATAAGATCATTGCTCAACAGTACTTTGAGTGAACTTAAAGTGTCTCTAAGTGACCAAACTATTAACAATATAGTGACCAAACTATTAACAATAAAACTTCCCATGAATGAATTCATAAAGCTCCTGTGTGAAAAACTTGATAAAATTACTTTTCATTCATTTATAGCCAAATCACAATCTAGTTATCTAAAGCATCTCAAAGAAACAATTAGTATTGATGAGGTTATTGTACTAGCAGATTTTGCAGATTTTGTACAAGACGAGATACAGAGTTACCATAGGAGAAATAATCAATTTTCTCTTAATCCATTTGTCAACTACTACAAGAAAGTTGAATTAAAAAAAATTTCTTTTTGTGTAATTCCAGATGATTTGAATCATGATGTTGGATTTATCAATGAAGTTATGCATAAAACCATAAATCATTGGTCAGGTACCAATATTCAGTCATATTTCTCCACTAGAACTAAAATTATTCACACAAAAAGTATCACTATAAGTTCTATCATAGAAAATAGAGGCTACAAAAAAATTTTTTTTTGTCTTACTTTGGAACGTTTGAGGCTGAATTTCAAAATGTCATAACTTTTGAACCGTTTGGATTTGGGAGCTCAAGTTTTACATTTTTTCATGTTTCATTTTAATGTACCACTGGGTAAAATTTAAAGCAAATCCAAAAGTTGACTGAAATGACTGTCCCAGTTTTATATGGAATTACCATCATTAGTTTTACAATCCATTTTGGTATCGAATTTAAAAAAAAATGAAAACACCTACTATGTTATTAAAAATGATAACACCTACTATGTTATTAACTTTTTAGACGTTGCAATTATTCTTTAAAATTACATTTAAGTTTATTTAACCTGATCTCAGAGAATGTTCTCACAAGAGTGAAACTTTTTTTTTTTTGAGATCAGTAATGCATGTAATGCTTACATAATCATAAACATTGAAACATTGAAACACCTTTTAGTTATTAGAGTTTTATCATATGTCATTAAATCAATACTAAAGAAATTCTAAAATATAATTTAATAATACGACGATTCTCAAGAGAGATATTAAGTCATATTATTCTAGTCTATAAGAGATAATAACATTTATAAATGTTTACATTCCTCCAATCAATAAAATTATTTGTCCTTAAATCTGGACCTTTAGGGCATACTCCAGTTTTGTTGAGACTGTTTAGGAAGTAGTTTGCACTTGTGGGTTATTTTCAATATAAAATTATGGACTTTTTTTGTCTATAATTGGAGGTTTCTTAGGTTGCAAGGGGTAGTCTGTAAAATGCAAACTGCGAACCAGTAAAATGCATACTTTTTTGCAAACCAAGATACTATATTTTAATGGCCACTACAGTTATATTTAAAAAAGTATTTGCTCTTTAACTCTTTCATTTCAGTCAAATATAATGAAATTTGATATTTTTTTTTTATTTTAATTTATATTTTTTTCTTTTAAATTAAATAAAATTTTAGATTCTACCTAAAGTTCTTAAAATATACAGAAAAACAATTTTTGGCAAATGGAAAATAAAATATATTACATCATTAACAACTAATAGGATCATGTTTTGCAGAAAAAGTTGGCATTTTACTGGTTCATACTTTGCATTTTACCAACTACCGTGTGTGGTATACTTTGTGACAATTATATCATTGTCAGCATTTTCAGTATTTGAATGAGTTTACTATTTATGAATTAATGTAGTTTAAGATATACAAAAATGACGTAAGTTGTAAAAAACTAATTTATATTGTTATGATTTTTTAATTAAATTCTAGGGAAAACAGATGCTGGATGAGGGAAAATAAAAAAGCATTGGATCATGACTTTCAAAAAATAAATCCAATTGTTTTATATTTCTCTGTGAGGTAAGTTTTAAAAAACATATCAAGTTTGGTATTGGTTTTTTTTTAAACCAAGAAGCAATAAGTAGTCGTAAGTGGTTGTTTTAAAATTGTTAAGCCATAACTGTTGCTCAACTGAGTTTTACTTAAGTTGACCATGTATCCAAGTATTCTTTTTACATTACTACACCCAGTTTAAGATTAAATTAATTTGTTAGTGCTTAGAAAAAGTAATCAATATAAAAAGGTTTTCATTACTATAATATTAGTAATAAAAATTGCTGTAATGAAGCTGCAACATTAAAGCAAATGTAATGTTTATGTTCGAAAGGCTCACAGCAAATTTTTCTCCAATCTAGATCTTGAAAGATTTTATTGTCTTTGCAGATAGAACTTCTGTTGGTAATACTTTTCTGTGAGGTATCTCTTTTTTTTTTGTAAAAAAATTGCTCCGTAGGATATTAGTTGATTTTCATCCAAATTTTAATGAATTACTTTTTAACTCTGAAGACACTTGGAAAAATACTTACCCCCATCCTCATATGTTTTTTTTTTAAATCTTCATCTTATTTCAAACAGATTTCCAAGACACCACTATGGTACTTTTAAATTTACCCCCATCCCCACCCTGTTCTTGATAATTGCTGTGGCAAAGTGGTCAGAGTTTATTTTTGGATCAAAGGATCAATTTTGATGCCTGAAAAGGCTATAAAAGTTATGTGTTAAGGCTATAAAAAGTTAAGGCTATAAAAGTTATGTGTGCGTATGTGCACGCACATACGCACACAATCATATATATTTATATAAAACAGGTGGTTACTAAAAAACCAGAAAGACTTTAACTGATATGTATATATATATATATATATATAACTATATATATATAAATATATATATATATATATATATATATATATATATATATATATATATATATATATACATATATATATATATATATATATATGTATATATATATATATATATATATATATATATATATATATATATATATATATATATATATATATATATATATATATATATATACACATATTTTCTGGTTTTTTAGTAACCACCTGTTTTATATAAATATATATGTGTATGTGCGTGCACAGTGTGGTGCAGATTTATAACCTCATCTGTATAAAGCTTTAAAAGAAGCTTTCTATGATTGTTGATCGAGATCTAATTGTAGATCATTTTTTGAAATAAACAAAATACTTTAAATGAATCTATTTATACTTTAATTAATTCAAATTATAAAATCATTTAAAATAGTGATGCATAATTTTAACCTTATTATCTAAATTATACCAAAAGCTGTAAAATAGCATTGAATTCTGTTTTCAAATTAAATCTATTCAATCAAATACATTTTAACAAATGCCAAAAGAAATTACATTTTCTGATGGAAAAAAAAGGGCAAGATTGAACCCTGCAGGTCATTGGGTTTATCAAACAGGAAAATTGCTTGGAAACTGAGCGCAAAAACATATTTATTTTCAATCGGTCAAGGACCACATGACTTGAAAAAATCAATGGAAAAAAATTGTGTGATCTGATGAAAAAAAATTTAATCTCGATGGTCCAAATGACTTTAATTATTGATGGCATAAAATTAGAGAAAAAATATTCAAAAAGAAAAGCTAAGGAAGGCAGAGGGGTAGTAATTTGAAGTATGTTCAATTATTTTGGAAAAAGTACCATTTGCTTTATTACTACTAAATTAAATGCTGAAGGATATATAAATTTGTTGGATGATCATTAGAAGGATATTTTACAAAAATTTGGACACAAATTTTATTTTCCAGCAAGATAATGTTCCAAATCATACAGCAAAGTCAAATATCAGATTGTTCAGCATCAAGAAAGTTCAATTATTGGAATGGCCAGTGCTCTCACTCAATTTAAATCCTATCAACAACATATGGGGATCTTAGACATTTATGCAGAAAGGAAACTATTCAAATGTTGATGAATTGAAAAAGGCAGTTGTACATGTTTGGAAGAACATTTCTCTTGCTGATCTCAGAAAATATTCTGAAAAGTATACCAAATATTTGAGGTCATTAAGAATTTCGGCAATAAAGCAAAGTATTAATAATAAATAATAAATTCAAATTACTCGATATCATCAAATTTTGTTGAACAAAATTGAAATGAGGTTATAGTTTTGCACCATCATTTTTCTGAAATTTTCAAATCAATTAACAAAATAAAACCAGAATTTATTAAAAATGAAATATTAATCAAGTTAGATATTAAGCAATTAAATAATTTAAAAATTATTATTTAATTATTGAATTTTCGGTGAGATTATAAATTTGCACCACACTGTATTTATATAAATGATTGTAGATTGTTCATTTGAGGAGTTTTGAAAATATAGGAAGGATTGAAATTGAACTGTAGTTATCTGTTGAATAAATGATTAATGATCATTTATATATATATATATATATATATATATATATATATATATATATATATATATATATATATATATATATATATATATATATATATATATATATATATATATATTGTTGCTAAATTTTTCAATTAAATAGGTTAGCTCAAAAAAATTTAAACTATTTTTTTATGTTTTATCTGAATTTTTTCTATTTGTAAGAAAACAGTATATTTTATGTAATTGTTGTTTAATCTTTTGTGATAATAGCATATGATTATTAAAATGTTAATTAATTTATCAAAGCACTAAAAAATTATCTTTAGACATTATTTAAATATTTTAGCATAACATAAACAGCTTAGCTGTATGCAAATTGGTATGCATGTGCGTACATGAAATGCTTTATCTACTATAGCGTATTTATTTAACAAGTTGTTACCTTATTTTTATTACCTTAATTTATACGGAAAAAAACTAATGAAAGAAAAGACTGCTGCCCCATGCCAATTCCTCAGTTGATTTAGCTATAAGATAGTCTATATATGTACTAAAACCCCTAGCAGTAGGCTATTTGAGGCAGGCAGTGTGATGCCAGAGTGCTTATCTAAACACGCATTCATACAATTCAAATTTAGTTTTAATATTTATAGGTTTTTAAGTAAAAAATATAAAATATAACTCAATCTTGATAAAAAAAAAAAACTCAATCTTGAATCTTAGCATTATAAAGTAATATAGATCAAATGGAATTCCTTTCCATTACTTTTTACAGTGCAGATTTTCAAACCCTGCACCCTAAACTCAGAAAAAATAAGGGTTTATGAAATCAACACTTTCAGACATTCTTAATTGTCTCAAAAGGTTATTTTTTATTGACTAAAATATTTTTACTATTAGACATTCTTAAGTTATTTTTTTACTGCAATTGCAATTAAAATTGCTTGTTATTTTTCTACATTTTTATTTAGGTAAATAAGCCTTTTTTATAAGTTTTCATTTTTTTATTCTTTAAAAAACTAATTTTTGTTCTCAACTTCAAATGGTTTTAAAAGCTCATGTAAATACAATCAGCTACCTGATTATAAAATTGTTTTACTTTTTAGAAACTTTGTTCCAAGTGTAGCAACTCTTAAGGAAAGCCACACAGTTGAACTATTTTTTCTTCAAATTCAAAAATTGGTATTTCAGGTATTTCCAAAATGCTTTTTGTTTAGGTTGCTTTTTTATTTCCAGAAATTATCATACGCAAGCATATTTTTAGCATACTGTTTTATACTAGCATGTTTTTTAAATTAGCATATTTTTACTGCTAAATTTTTAGCATTTCTTTTCTTAAAATGTTGATAATAAATTTATTTGTAGGGTGAATTAGAATGTCACAGTGAAACTATATTTAAACTTGCAGCCTATGTATTGCAGGTAGTTATTTAAAATTTCGTTTTTCACTTTGAATGATAAATGCTAGCAAAGTTTAGCTTGTTAGATATTTCTTGTTAAAAATTATTGCAAAATACTTTCATTTAAAATTCAAATTTTTTTTTAGGCAACACATGGGGATTATGTTAGGTATTGGTTTAAATAATGGCATTTTAAAGATTTCTTGTTGCTCATTTAATTTTAATTTTTAAAGTTATCTTTTAGTAATAATATAGCTGCAAATGATTTAAAAAATCTAAATGTAATACCAATAAAGACTCAACATGAATACCCAACACCTTCTTATTGGTAAATATTTGTTTTTTTGTTTAATTTATTTTATTAATTTTCTTTTTTTCATTTATTTTTTTCAATAGTTTAACTGTTACCATCATATATGCATAAATGAAAGAAAAATTTAATACACAAAATTAAAAAATAATAATTGTAAAACAAAAATAATAACAAAAAAAAAAGAAAAATTATAAAAATTGTTTGTTGTATTACTATATTAATTATCAATTATGGTATATTTTGTTTTATCTAGTTACACATTCTTTACCTTATCAAGTATTGCATATTTTCCAGACCTATATTTTTTCCAAACACCTATATTTTTTTAATTAAAAATTTATAAAAAGATAAGTTGAATAAATAATTATTTTCAAAATACTATATTGATGTGATTAAAATCAAACACTTTATTGATACACAAATGTGTCAGTTTGATACACAAATGTGTCAGTTTGATACACAAATGTGTCAGTTTGATACACAAATGTGTATGTTTAATACACAAATGTGTCAGTTTGATACACAGATGTTTCAGTTTGATACACAAATGTGTCAGTTTGATACACAAATTTGTCAGTTTTAAAATTACAAACTTCAAATTTTTCAATTATTCTATTGAATTTTGAAATAATTAAAAAAAAAAAAAAAATAATAAATTATTAATTTGGATAACTTTTCTTAAATGTTATATTTGTTTTAGAAAATTTAAAAATAATTTTCTTTTAAATATATTAATAAATTGCAAGTATGAATTAAAAAGGAAGATTATAAAAAGTTTCATAACATAATTAAAAATATGATAAGCAGTAAAAACAGCATAATGGTAATTTTGTTAAATTAACCTATATTTATTTTATTGTTAAATTAACCTATAACTATATATATATTTTAAATAAAAGTAATTGCTATTTCAGTGAGTTGAAAATAATAGAACACTATCGCAATTTTGATGGCATGACAAGGGGTGAAGCTATAGTTAAGTATGCATTTTTTAATTAAAAATATTTATATTTTAGTTTCTTTTTTTTTTTAAATACTAATTTCCTATGGTTAAATAATCATGTCTAATGTTTAAGTTACATTGGAGATGTAGAAAGATTACCTATGTATGGAAATCATTGTTACAATGTGAAGGTATTTAACTATACTTTCAATTTTAAAATTTTCAAAAAATTTATTATTTTATATATATATATATATATATATATATATATATATATATATATATATATATATATATATATATATATATATATATATATTTGGTAGGACAAAGATCAAAATTCCTGGATTCTTGGCCTAAGTCATCGTGGTGTGTCAGTGTTTGATATTCAAAATAAATCTTTGCCTCAAAAGGTATTTATAAGTATTAGGTTATAAATTAACATAATTATCTTATATATATATATATATATATATATATATATATATATATATATATATATATATATATATATATATATATATATATATATATATATATATATATATATATATATATATATATATATATATATACATATATTTTACTCTTAGATTCAATAGTTTTTCTTTTGTTACCTGGAACTTTTTACTTATATTTGTTAAAATTTTTTTTTTGCTAAATATATATATATATATATATATATATATATATATATATATATATATATATATATATATATATATATATATATATATATATATATATATATATATATATATATATGTATATATATATTTATATATATATATATATATATATATATATATATATATAAAATGAAAAAAAATTACAAGTAAAAACTTTATCCTCTAAAAGTTGAAAAATGAAATTTGTTTGGTGGAGGTTATTATTTTTATTAAAATATTTTTCATAAGCAAAAATAAATATTTTGTTATATTTAAGTTTTTGCAGCATGTTCTTTTGTTGAACTAAAAAAGTACATTGTGTATTACATATGTATAATTCAGGATCAATACAAGCTGAGTCATTAGGTTTAGTACTGAAAACATTCTCTTTCATTTCCAGTAACTTTTTGGGTACTACAAGGTTCCTCTCTGGTTCTATGTTGTTCCTCATCTTTATTAATGATCTTCCTGAACTTTACTTCCAAAGTGGCTCTATTTGCTGATAATACAATTATATATTCCAGTCATCACTTTATTTTGGCTTATAACAGGCAGTTGGTGTTGTATTTGATCTCTCTTTTGTGATAGCTTGAGGCTTGCAATGTTAATTTTAAACTTTAGTTGTTACTTGCAACCCATTTTTTTTGTAGTGAAATCTTAATTTGTTTCTTGAGGCCACTACGACTTTCTTCACTTCACTTTTTAGTACTTCTAAGAAATTTATTGGTATTATAACAAAAATATCAATTGTTTTTATTTATTGTTTTTTTTTCTTTTTAATTATTCACCTCCCCAAGGCCCGAGGGGGCCACTACAGTCTAGGAGGCTACTCATTTTTTTATTTTTTTTTTAATTTTTTTTTTTTATTATAATTTTTTTTTTGTAAATTTTGGTACAACCCTCTCTCAACTCTTTAACTCCGAAACACGAACCTTGAGAAGCAAGACCGCTGCGCGGAGAAATTAAGTTGAGCGTAGTACTTCCAGGGACATGGTGGGAGTCGATATCCGAACCTCTCGCTTACAAAGTGAGCGCTCTTACCACTACACCACTACTGCATTTTAAATGACGTATAATATTAAGTATTTATGACCTATAAAAGTAAGTATTTATGACCTCTTATGAGGATTATTTTTCAAAAATATTTCTTTTAGATATTTCGATGGAGTCACTTAGAAAATATTTATTATAAAGATAAGAAATTTTCCATTGAGTATCGTGAAGGCCCAAGGTTTACTTTTTATTTTAAAATATTTATTTACTTTTTTTTTTCACTTTTTATTTTAAAATATTTATTATAAAGATAAAAAATTTTCCATTGAGTATCGTGTAGGCCCAAGGTTTACTTTTTATTTTAAAACTATTTATATATTTTATTTCAATTTATAAATTAATTATGTTAAATTACCCCCAATGTCTGCATTTAGATTTTTATTAATATAAATTTATATTAATATACATTTATATATTAATGGTATCATTATTATGTATATTGTTGACACCTGATAAATAAGCGTAAGTGTTATTTTTTTTTATACATTTTTTATTTACAAATATTATAATCTTTGTTTAGGCAACATCAGTCAATGTTAAAGTAAGTGTTAAATTTTCTTTTAAATAAAACATTTTTTTCTAATAAAGCCATATATGAAAGAAATTGAGATGTAAGTATATATTTTCACATATAGATAAACATGTCTATACATTATTTGTTTATTTTTTTGGTATTATTTTTGTTTTTACAAGTATTTTTTTTTTAATTTGTGTATCAAGTGTTTTTCTTTCATATATGCATATATGATAAGTAAATAGCATATTTAAGTTACTTAAAAGGAAAATACCTAAAAGTAATCTTAAAGTATCTTTTAAATATTTAAAATGTAAAACTTATAAATACTCAAATCATTTAGCTTTGCTATTTTTACCTCTACTAAATAGTTTGTATCTTGTCTTTGACTCTAGCTTGTGCTCAGTTTCTCCTTGCTTCAGAATATGTTATGACCGTTCAGAATATGTTATGATCTTTGAACACTGTGTTCAGTTTCTCCTTGTTTTCCTTCAAGTGGTTCAGAATATGTTATGATCTTTTAACTTTGTGTTAAGTTTCTCCTTACTTTCCCTTAAGTGGTTCAGAATATGTTATGATATTTAAACTTTGTCCTTAGTTTTTAATTCTTTTCCTATAGCTGGTTCAGAATATGTTATGATTGTACTAAAAGTTTTGTATTCTTGTTCATTCTTCTACACCAGATTGATTCTGTCACTTTGCGCTGCTACTTACCGCTATTATATTGCGTTTCATCCTACTATTTTAAGACTGGCTTTGATTTTTTTGTAATAGCCCTTGAGCTGATGTTTCTCTGTTAAGCTGATGTCTTTCTGTTGAAAATTGTGCTTCTTGTATAATCTTCTGGATTCAGACATGAATGGTTTTTTTTTTTTTTTTTTTTTAACAATAGTTAGTGAATTCTATTTCTATTTTATTCTGCTTTTTTATATCTGTTTAATAACTATATATTGGCATTCACTTATTAAATTTTGTAAAAATATTTAGTTCATTTAGTAAATACTATTTTAATTATAAAAAATTATATTTTCTTTATAAGGTTATAGAAAGGCTATTTTGAATAGATTTTGAAAATCAGAAATTTGGTACATTAACTTTTCTACACTATATGTACAAGTAAAAGTCTTTTCAGAAATTTTTCATTAATTGCAAATACAAAACAATAGGTTAGATTCACATCTAAATCCACTACAAAAGCAACAAATATTTACAAATATTTTAACTGGATATATCTAGTCAGATAAGTTAGGTGTGATAAATTTTTACAAAATTTTAAAAAATATATATATTGAAAACAAACTGCTAATACAACTTTAATATAAGTTAGTAGAAAATTATTAATACAATCTTGCCTCATATTACTATACTTGGTTTTTTAGATTAAATACTTTTCGAAAAAGTAGTAATCATATAACAATACAAGCATGGTATTTTTAGATTAAATACTTTTCAAAAAAGTAGTAATCATATAACAATACAAGCATGGTATTTTTAGATTAAATACTTTTCGAAAAAGTAGTAATCATATAACAATACAAGCATGGTATTTTTAGATTAAATACTTTTCGAAAAAGTAGTAATCATATAACAATACAAGCATGGTATTCTTCTACAACAGCTCAATGCCGTGAAATTTGGTTAATGGCTGTGTCTCAGCATCAATTTTATTTGGATAAAAAATTAAATCAGGTTTGTTAGTTAATCTTTGTTTTTAAATTTTTTGTTTCTATAAATAGTAAACAATGATTTTAAGCACTACTTTATCTTTTGATTGGTATAAAGAATACTTTGCCGTGCCATTATTATAAACCATATTGCCATAAGTAATGTTATATTATCATATGATCAACAGCAACAAAAATTGTATGATTAACAACAACAAGAATCAATCAAACTTAGCATGGCGATGTGTACTAATACATACTAGAAAATAACATATTTATACATAATAGAATAATTTGTTGTAAAACCTTTTAAAAGTGTTTCAACATTTTTAAATTTAAAAACTTTTCCTTGTGTTTAATGTCTAAATTTTTTACTTCTTCTAATGATGTCAAACAATTTCCTTAAATCAACTTAGCCAACCTTCTTACTATGCTGAATTTTATTTCGACATTTGATTTTCGACAGACTTTCAACCACAATATAATTGTAATCAGGTAGGCTGCATTTGTATTTAATGTGCATCAGTAATGTTTTTTGTGAACCCATTTAAAACAATGTTTTTTGTGAACCCATTTAAACGCAAGCTTTTTCATATTAAAAAGGGTTGTTGACATCTTTCTGAATGATGAATTGCTCTTTGGCAAGATGAGGAAAGCAATTATTTGTTATTAATGAAGCTATTCATTTTCAAGTGTCCAGTTAGCTGTCAGCAAAATAGGAGTAAATAATTTGTGTGATAGGGATCCAAAATGTCTGATTTATTGCTGAGAGGGTTTGGATTGATTTTACAAAATGTCTGACGTATTGCTGAGAAGGTTTGGATTTAAAAAAAAACTGATTAAAAATGAGTTATTAAAAGAAAAATATTGAATTAAGGTTTTTGATAAACATAATACTATGTTAAATTTTAATATGATTATTCAACTGCGTATTTGATAAAATAGCAGCAATGACTCTGATTATGTAAAATATGCATACAAACATACTTAAGAATATAAGATCTGATAAAAAATGCATGTTAACCTTGTAATGAGGGTATTAAATCATGCTTGTTTCAATAATTCAGGAATAAACAGATAAGTTGTATTTGATTTTATATAAAAACTTCTTATAAATATATATATATATATATATATATATATATATATATATATATATATATAAATATATATATATATATATATATATATAAATATATATATATATATATATATATATATATATATATATATATATATATATATATATATATATGTATATATATATATATATATATATATATATGTATATATATATATGTATATATATATATACATATATATATATATATATATATATATATATATATATATATATATATATATATATATATGTTGTTATATACATCTGTTGTTACGATCATCAACATAAGCTACTTGTTTCTTTTTAAAAGAAACAAGAAATATTCTTGTTTCTTTTAAAAAGAAACAAGTAGCTTATGTTGATGATCGTAACAACAGATGACAACTTCGATTTTAGACAAACAACTTGATGACGATGATGAAATAGTCATTGCTGATAATAACATGGCTGACATACTAACAGCATTTAGTTTTAAAAATGAGGAAGATGAAAAACTCCAAACAATAGTTGAAAAACTGTTGTTGAACTTATAATGACTTATAGTGATTAAGAGTTTCAGTTATTAATAATTTTTAAGAAACAAAGAATATAAATTCTTATGTCATATTTATCTAATAGTTCTATTAACTTTTTAATGGTGACAAAACATGACATTAAATAAGAATTTAAACAAAGTTCTACTTAATAACAAACAACAACAAAAAATATATAGTTGTATCAAAATATGTTGAAACTGTTGTAAATAACAATTTAATATTATTAAATTATTCAAAAAAATAATGAAAAAAAAAGTGAATGATTTAAGATCAATAAGAAATTGTGATAAATCAAACATCATCTGAGCAAATAATAAATAAGTGTAATTGTTAAATGGGAAGAGGTGTGAAACTTTACGCTGCTTGATACTACTTCACGACATTCATTGGCAAAAAATTATTTCTTTTTTATTTATTTTGTAAAAAAAGTTATAAAAAATAACATCATAAAGTGATTTTTTGTGAAAGTTGTTTTTTAATAAATTTGGCAATTTTTCTTACCTCGGACAGGGGATGTGACTATAGGTGCTTTTTCTTTTGTAGTCAAGTTTTATTTGTAAAGAAATCCTAAGTCTACAACCAAAAAAGAAGATCTAAAAGTGTATTGTTTCGAGGGTTTGTAATTTTTTAAAGAAAAAATGACTAAAATATAACTAATTTATGCAGAAGAGTTATAATTAAACAATTTTTTATAATGTGAAAAAAAGTTATAAAAGTAATTGCCTAAACTGAGTTCATTGTATATATGTATATATATATATATATATATATATATATATATATATATATATATATATATATATATATATATATATATATATATATATATATATATATATATATATATATATATATATATATATATATATATATATATATATATATATATATATATATATATACATATATATATATATATATATATATATATATATATATATATATATATATATATATATATATATATATATATATATATATATATATATATATATATATGTATATATGTATATAAATGTATAAATGTATATAAATGTATAAATGTATATATGTATATATGTATATATGTATATATGTATATATGTATATATGTATGTATATATATATATATATATATATATATATATATATATATATATATATATATATATATATATGTATATATATATATATATATATATATATATATATATATATATATATATATATATATGTATATATATATATATACATATATATATATATATATATGTATATATATACATGGCTATTTCCACAATGTAAGAAATAAATTTTTTGTTTAAAAATTTCTCTTTTTAAAAAACTTTCCTTAATTGTAGTTTAAACATAAATTTTGAGTAGAAAATATTTGAACCGAGTAGATAAATTTGATGAATTTTAGCCGTTGTTTTTTTTTTTTATTATTTGAAAAAGTGAGTAAAATTGAATTTATTGCAACATTTTAAACAAAATATATCCATATTTTTGAATCTTTGAGATTATATATATATATATATCTTGAGTAAAAAAAATTTGACTCTTTAAAAATAAGTCAAAAATTAGGTTGCGCCACTGAACTAAAATCTGCAAAAATTAGGTTGCGCCACTGAACTAAAAGCTAAAAAAATGTAATCATCACAATGAAATTAGGCTTCAAGGCAAGGTTTTTTTTTTAAAAGTTATATATTTTAATGTAAACTTTCTATTCAAAAAAAAATTGGTTAAAAAGCATTAACTTATAGTTAAGTTTAAAAGCTGTTGCACCACTAAACCTTTCAACGGGATAATTAGCGTTTTATAAAATAGCATGGTAAGAAAGTAAAAATATCATCCAGATATTCAGATTTCGTTGTGGGTTTTGATTGAATAAGTTTTGCATTTTAGAATTGTGAAGGGCTCAAATTAAGAGTTGTAAAAAGTTAGGCTCTAAAAAAGAAACTTTAAAATCAATCTCAAAGACTAAGCTCACCTTTTAAAAACGTTCATCAAAGAGGAATAGCATTAAAAATGTTTTAAAACCACTACCAACTTCAAGGAAGAAACAATTTGAAATTCTTTTTATTCTTTCAAATAGCTCTGCTTGTAAAGATTCGGGTCTACCTTCAGCATGTTATTTTTGAATGGTCTTTCTGAAAGCGATGTTTTAACAGTTGTAAACTTTTATAATAAAGATAAAGTTTCCCAAATATCATGAAACAAATAAGATGTCATTTGAGTTCAATTATCTGATGGAAAAACAAACAATATTCCGATATGTCATTTATATTATATGCTAAAAGGACCTTTTGATTTATTTAAGAAAAAGTATCAGCACATAAAAATTGGACTCTTAAAATGTATTAATACACTTACTGGGACGAGTGGAGAAAGCCTGAAACTAAAATATATCCAATTAACAATTTTTAAGAAATGGAAGGAAGTTTCGATGAGTATTAATTCTGAAATTGCGGTAAATCAAGTTTACTGGGCTGAAAACGCTAGGTGTTTCTATCAAAGTGAACTGCAAGCGGATCATTTTGGTCAAAATTAACTTTCAATCATTATCCTTGCAGTATGGAATATTGAGTTAAAAATATTTGCCAGAGTTTCTGATTCAACTAATCATACAAAGTCTTCAGTTGACAAAACATTGACAAAATCCTTCACTTTATTCCTGGTATAATCAAAGAAGTACACATGTTCAGCGATAATGCCACTTCTCAGTTCAAAAACAAAAGAATTATGGCTGCAATGGTTGTGTTTGAAAAACATTTTCTGAAAAAATTCTTCTGGCATTTTTTTGTAGCAATGCACAGGAAAGGAATGGTTGACAGAATTGGAGCTACTGTTAAGCGAATTGCAGCCCTGAGAGTTAAATATAGTCGAAGTGGGATCAGGTCAGCAGCAGATTTTGCATTAGCATTACAAGATTTGCAAATATCTGTAATTCATGTCAGAAAACGACTCAAGACAACAACGAAAAAAATGAACTTGGATTCAGTTTAATTTTAAGTTATTTAAGAAAAATCAAAGATATATTAAAATTACATTATTTTTATGTTCAGAATGAAAGCGTTGTTCCAATGCTATTTTCACCTGAGAATAATTAAAGTTTATTACAAAATAGAAAACTTTTTAAAATGATTTTAATTCCATTTTTTTGTTTCGTCACTGAACTGATAGTTTTTTTTTGTAAAATAAAACGATTTGAAAACTTAGTTGCTTGTAGCTTTTTTTATGACTGCCTTAATGTCAAATGAATAAATTACAACAAAAAAATCTAATTAGCCTATCAGGAGTAAAAATTTCAGTGAAAACTCCATTTCAAAGTATGCTGATAAAAAAACACTTTTCTCCACGTTGTATCACTGAACTCAGGTTTTATTTTTTCCTATGTATCAGTGTTATGTTAATACAATTGTGTTTAATGTATTATAAAATTTTATTTCAAGATTGATTTAGAGTAATAAAAAATTATTTTTGAGTTACTTTATTAATGAAAATCTCTCTGAATGATGCGTCACTGAACTATGAAATTAGCCATATACATATGTATATATATATATATATATATATATATATATATATATATACATATATATATATATATATATATATATATATATATATATATATATATGTATATATATATATATATCTATACATATATATATATACATATATATATATACATATATATATATATATATACATACATACATACATATATATATATATATATATATATATATATATATATATATATATATATATATATATATATATATATATATATGTATATATTTATAAATACATACATACATACATAGGCATGCAAAAACATTTGTTAAATTCTAAAGTGGTACCTGTAAAGTACAAACCTGAACATTAAAATTTTTTTTAAAAGTAACTGTAGGTGAACCACTTATTGAGTTGTTAGAATGCATACTTTAGGATCTTTTTCTTGATCAAGTTGGCGGTTTCATATAATCAGGTTTGGAGCTACAGATTTGTAGCAGCAATAAGAACTGGTGTGTTTCCTGAAAATTTAATAGTCTTATATGGCTCACTACAGCTCTCTTTCTCTAGACTAAATTTTTTTCATTTTTTAACAGAGAGAAACCTAAGAAAAAGAAACCTTAGAAATCTACTTTTAGTTATTGATTTTAAATTTGTTGTTATCATTTTTATTCAAGTATATTCCAATTGAAACAATACCAAGAAAAAAATGTTGTAATAGCAAAATAAACTGTAAATAAATCTGTTTACATTTAATAAATGAATTATTTAGACTCTTCTGTTCCAACATTGTAAAAAAATAAAAATGAAAAATTAGAAAAAGGTCTAAAATAGACGATGTAAATGCTGTCAAAATGGTGATGAAGATGAGCTTATAAAGCAAGATTAAAATTACCAAGTTGGAAAGAATTTAGTAAGATGTTGCAAAACTTCAAGAATAAATACTGATGTTACAAAAAACAAATACCGATGTTGCAAAACTTTGAGAATAAATACTGATGTTAACAAATTGATTAACAAATCTAGATATGTGAAAAGATTCAGTTTACAACAAAGCTTATAACCCATGAACTTACAATTACAAGTTTATGGTTTTTCCAGATGATAGGAAAAATCTCCATAGATGGTCCATATCATTACCAATTGATTAAAAATTGTATTAATATAATATATTTTTCTGTTGAGGGTCAATGCCAAGTCAATTGGATGACATACTATATAACAGATTTTACAAGGTTTTACAAATCAGTTTAACTATAACCAATAATTATCTTGCAAAACATAGCTTGTCTATTTTTGCTTTAAAATCATTAACGAACTGTCATTCAACAACTGAAGCAGGCAGTTTGTCCATAATTTTAAGAAATTTTCACAAAGATCATTTTTGAAATAGGTATCAGTAATTGTGTGGTGATCTGGTCTTCTTAATATAGCTACTTTATAATTTTTTTAGGAGAAACTTTCCATTCAATTTTTTCTATATTTTTATAGCATTTAAAGAACTAGATTAAATCCCCTCTTTTTCTTCTTTCTGATAGAGTTGTTAAATTTAACAAGCATAATTGTTTCTCATATAATAGATGTTATATTTCTGGTATCAATTTTGTCTCTTGTCTTTGTATGTTTTCAAGGATCTTTATACCTTTCTCCATATGACATGACCAAATTTGAATTAATAATTGATAATTAATACTAAAGGTATAGTCTGACAGCTTATGCACAAATGTCTGAAGAATGATTTGGTTTTGTATTTAAATATTTTTAATAATGAACCCAGTCTACTATTTGCTTAGGCTACTTCCTATTTATCTTGAGCTTCCAATTTTAAATCTTTTGAAATTAATACTCCTAAATCATTTTCTTAAAAACTTGTTTGAATTCAAATTGGCCAAAGGCAGCAGATTTTCATTATATAATTTTTTTTATACAGAATTAAATAATTAATGCAACATCTAAAATTGTTTTCAATACTGAATATCGATTGATTTAGTTGGAGTTTCTTGTGGAAAAATGATTCTAAATATAGTTGGACAAGTATTAGTATTACAATGGTATCTGTTATTTGATAATTACGTTTCTAATAAAGTTGTTTACAAATTTTTTTTTTTTGAGATTGAAGATTCTTATATTGAATTTTAAAATGATTTTAGAATAAATTAATTTTTTTTCTTATAAAGTATGCTTTGTGAGAGCGTAGGTTGTTTAAAAAATATTACTTGTTACTAAAAATTCATCAAATTGGCATTTTTCTGCTCATTTTGTTTTTAGCCTATGAAAGTTCAGTTATCTAAGCATATGACTGGTTTATGAAGGAGGATTATCAAATTGCAAGGAATGACTAGTAGTCCATACACTACAGGTCATATTTTAGCAATAAAATACCCTTCTTTTGTTTTTTTAGGCTTTTTTGAATGACTTTTTTCTTTAACTATTTTCTAGTTTTTTATTGTCAATTCTGGTTCATGTGTCTATTACTTCATAATTGGACAAACATGAAAAATCACTTATTACTCTAGATGTACAAAAAAATGGGTCTGAATCTAATTTTAGACTGATTTTGTTATACTTTTTTGCATTTTTTTTTGTAGACTTTAGTAATTCCTTTGTATGTATGCTAGAATCTAATTCAAACTAGTGGTCTAAACAATGAAATTCCTCTTTCTTGAAGAATTATTTGTCAGAATTAAAACATGTTAAATAGGTTTAAAATGTGAAAGTAGTTTGTTAATATGACATAAAATGGTGGAAAATAGACAATTGTATGTAAATTTTCTTTATAAAAATTTTGAAAATGCTCTTTGAAAAAATTGTGTTCTGTCAATTAGGAGATGTTAATATTGTTGAGGAAAAAAACATTTCACACATGTTATCACAGAGACCTAATCTACCAAAATGGTTACATCACCTATCTATAGGAGTTTCTTTACATTTTTTGAACAACACTGTTGGTAGTCCAACAACACTGTTGGTAATCCAACAACACTGTTGGTAGTGTAACAACACTTTTGGTAGTCCAACAACACTGTTGGTAGTCCAACAACACTGTTGGTAGTCCAACAACACTGTTGGTAGTCCAACAAACACTGTTGGTAGTCCAACAACACTTTTGGTAGTCCAACAACACTGTTGGTAGTCCAACAACACTGTTGGTAGTCCAACAACACTGTTGGTAGTCCAACAACACTGTTGGTAATCCAACAACACTGTTGGTAGTCCAACAACACTTTTGGTAGTCCAACAACACTGTTGGTAGTCCAACAACACTGTTGGTAGTCCAACAACACTGTTGGTAGTCCAACAAACACTGTTGGTAGTCCAACAACACTTTTGGTAGTCCAACAACACTGTTGGTAGTCCAACAACACTGTTGGTAGTCCAACAACACTGTTGGTAGTCCAACAAACACTGTTGGTAGTCCAACAACACTGTTGGTAGTCCAACAACACTGTTGGTAGTCCAACAACACTGTTGGTAGTCCAACAAACACTGTTGGTAGTCCAACAACACTGTTGGTAGTCCAACAACACTGTTGGTAGTCCAACAACACTGTTGGTAATCCAACAACACTGTTGGTAGTCCAACAACACTTTTGGTAGTCCAACAACACTGTTGGTAGTCCAACAACACTGTTGGTAGTCCAACAACACTGTTGGTAGTCCAACAAACACTGTTGGTAGTCCAACAACACTTTTGGTAGTCCAACAACACTGTTGGTAGTCCAACAACACTGTTGGTAGTCCAACAACACTGTTGGTAGTCCAACAAACACTGTTGGTAGTCCAACAACACTGTTGGTAGTCCAACAACACTGTTGGTAGTCCAACAACACTGTTGGTAATCCAACAACACTGTTGGTAGTCCAACAACACTTTTGGTAGTCCAACAACACTGTTGGTAGTCCAACAACACTGTTGGTAGTCCAACAACACTGTTGGTAGTCCAACAACACTGTTGGTAGTCCAACAACACTGTTGGTAGTCCAACTACACTGTTGGTAATCCATCAACACTGTTGGTAGTCCAACAACACTTTTGGTAGTCCAACAACACTGTTAGTAGTCCAACAAACACTGTTGGTAGTCCAACAACACTGTTGGTCTACCAATAAATCTATATCTTAGCTGTTGACGCATGACATAAAACTATATTATTTCTTTTTCTTGTTTTCAGTCAAAGCATGCTCCAAAATCGTTAAGAGATGTTGCTAAGAGTCTATGCAAATCTTCATCTTCATTATCTTCAATGTATTCTGGTAGTATTGGTGGTTATAGTAGTAGCCTCAGCGATACTGCTTCTTTTTATTTTTCTTTGGATGGTGGTAAGTTGGAAATGTTATTTTGAAATTTCAGTATTACTAAGATATTATGTGACCCTGTTTAATATATATTTTAATTTTTTTAGAAAGTATTACTTCTTCTCAAATGGTTGTTGCTGAAAAAGACTTGTACTATGCACTAAAAGCTCGAAAAGAATTTCTCCAAGAGTTGTTAATTGAAAAGCGAGAACTATTAAATGAGCTCTGCCTGCGTGAAGCAGTGAGTACATTAAATATTTATTTTTTTAAGACTGAAATAAGTAAAAATATTTTTCATATTGTTTCAGTGAATGTCTTTTAATTAATATATTTTTTATGTAGCTTTAAAAAAATGTTGTTAGTTAAATATATGATCATTAGGATTTAACTGGGCAGCTTCCAAGTGATCTTCCGGAAAGTCCTACACACCCCGGAATGCCAATGCGACGAAAGATGGGAACTAGTTTCCAGTTTGATGAATCACTATTTTCAAACCAACATGACAGTGATGTAAACTTTCTTATATATTTAACTAATTATAATTAAGTAATTGACTATTAATTATAGTTCTAGTTTTTGATCATTTGAGATAAATATTTTATTTAAATTATCTTTCTATGTGATAAAAGATTTATTTTCCAAGGAGCAAGAATATGACCGGTTACTGCGTGATTACCAGATTCAAAAGCAAATTACAAATGCTGCTCAGGTTTGATTAAATATTGAATTGAAAATGTTTCACAAATTGTTTTTTAATCTTTTAACTTTTTTATGTTTTGCTTTGTAGCGTATAGCTATGGATACATCAGCTCAAAAGAAAGTTCGTAAAGCCAGAAAAATTACTTATCAAAAGTCTTTAGTTAAGGTATGTGATTATGTTGTTGTTAGGATACATGTTTCACATAAGTTTATACATGAAGTATTATTAAAACCCTAAAATAAATTGACTTCAATTTACTTTCATAAACCACAAACAATGAGAAACAATTATTAAAGCTTACATTTACAGCTTTTTTCTTGAAATCAGAAAAAATTACTAAACTTAAGAAGCATTTATTTATTTAAAAGTTAGTTTCTTAATGAATCCTCTAAAAGAGAAACTATATTTAAACTAAGTAAGAAACAATATTTAAACTATGGGAGTATTTTGCTGTGGGTGCTTTCTGCTTTGAAGTGGTAAGGTAATTTTTTTTTTTACTAATAATATAAGTTCTTTAATTTAAGAATGTTAAGGACTCCTTTCATAAAGTACCCTACTATATATGTATAATAGATATAATACTCTACATAAATGTGTGGATGTTAAATATTTTAATTCATATTTTCCCTTATCTTTTTGATTGAGTGTGCTTTTCTTACTATCATTCATAATAAGAATACCAAAAATGTTTACTTCTCATTTTATTGTTTTTAAAGTGTACTGGAGTTTACAAGAAATGTTAGGTAGCCTTCTTAAGTAATTATTTTGTCACTTAGCACAAACGAAACAATTTTATTCAATTAGACCATAAAACAATACACCATATTGAAGTGTGTTGAATTCTCGTTTTTTTTTTTTTTTTTTTTTTTTTTTTTTTTTTTTTTTTTTTGTTAAAATCTTTTTTGGTACCGGTTTTTTATGTGGTTTTTTTATGGTTAAAAAGGATAATTTTCTTGAGTTTTTAGCGGCTGGTTCTTTATAATAACTGTACTGTTTTAGAAGAGTCACTTCCTTAGATTTTTATTAAAATGGCTCTAAGGAATTAACGGATTATGTTTTATTAATCTGGATGATCTTATTGCTTCAGTTTCACCAACATTTTAATTTAAAGTTCTTAAGATCATCATTTAAAATTGTTTTTCTTTATTTTACTTTTCTATTTATATTTTTTATATTTAATTTATATTATTTATATTTCTTTTCTAAAATTTTTATTTTACTGTTTTTTGACGTGACAATGTTTTTAAGGCTTATATTTATTAAGTTAAATTAAATAAGTTAACATTAAACTAAAATTATTAATTAAAACATTTATTTTTTATAATTTTCGATATAAATAACAATCTGCAGGTTTTTATTAAATATATATTATAAATTCAACATTAAAATTGTTAGTTTTTCATTTAGTTAAAAACTATGGAGCAACAGTTGGAATATTTAAAACGTGATGCTGCTAAAGTTACAAGTGAAGCAATGTCTCGGTTAATTAAGCAAGGTTTGTTGAAAACTTTTGGTACTTTTTACCTGGATAATTTTTTCCTTGCTTTTAGGGAAACAACAGTTATGTTATATTATTAAAGTGTTCTATATTTTAATTAAAGATAACAGTTTTTTAATCGTTGATAATTTATAATATTATTTTTATTTTAACCATTAGTTAACTGCTATATGCGACTGCAAATCTTGTAAAAAGTTCGGTTTTTTAAATAAATGTTGCGTTGGTATTTTTACGCACATAGTTTGTTTTTGTTGAAGCATAAAACTTTGAAAATTTAAAGTAAACTAAAAAAACAGCCAAAAAGTGAAAATGAGAGGTAAAAATAAACCAATTGTTGACATGAGTGGTATGAATGACAAAAACGAAAGTGAGCGGTAAAAATAAACCAATTAAGCGGTAAAAATAAACCAATTGTTGACATGAGTGGTATGAATGACAAAAACGAAAATGAGCGGTAAAAATAAACCAATTAAGCGGTAAAAATAAACCAATTGTTGACATGAGTGGTATGAATGACAAAAACGAAAATGAGCGGTAAAAATAAACCAATTAAGCGGTAAAAATAAACCAATTGTTGACATGACCATAAATCGCACCACGCCTAAAGACATTCCAAGTAGTTCCAGAGCATATACATTCAAGACCAAACATCTAGCTTCAGTTATGATATTCGGCCTGGTTTTATCTGATGATCTCAAAATGCCCTTGGTTTTTATCAAATCTGATCAGAAAGTCGACTCCAATGAGTCTGTTCAAATCCTGGAGAACCGTGTCAAGCCCTGGATTGATGCCCACTACTATTCAGATAACTCTGGAGGTGTTATGGCCACCTGGATCTCCAGATTTGTCATCTCTAAACTATTCAATTTGGCAGTCAACTCCCTGTAGGTTGCCATCAAGAAGGAGTGGAACAAGATGCCAGACCACCTGTTTCAGGTTCAGGAGTCGTATTGAAGCTGTGGTTGATGCTGAGGGAGAACATATTGAATAAAAATGTAGTAAATATCTTTCTGAACACCTTTTAATAAATAAATTTTTTTTAAACTTTAAGTTTTTGTTCTGCATTAATTTTGGTCAAAAAATATTTTTTTACAAAATTTGCGGTCGCATACGGTAAATTTGGTAATCTGGTAACTAAGCTTGTAATTATTAGTAACGTAACTGGAAATTATTGATGATGATGATGATGATGATGATGATGATGATGATGATAATGAAGATGATGATGACGATGATGATGATAATGAAAACAACGGCTACGACAAAGATAACAATTAATCAACCCTAGGTAAAAAACAAAATCCAGGTTTATTTTATCAAACTCGGTTTCGGTCAAAATCAAGCTCTCGTTGATTACTAGCTGAATGTATAGAAATAAGTTTGGTTTGATATTTATAATCCCTTGGGTTCCTCCCCCTGCTTTGTTTAGATGTTTTAGTGTTAAATGGTTTGTACTTTATTCCTTCATTGTTGTAAACTTTTGATATTTTAGATGAAAATGAAAGTAATGGCGATAGTTTAGGACCAATTGATGGAGGTTTGCTACATTTTTATACTGTTGATATAAGAATTTTCTCTAACCTTTTATAAGAATTTTTTATAAAAAACCTTTTATAGGAATTTTTTATAAGAAACCTTTTATAAGAATTTTTGCTTACCTTTATATTTTTCTTTGCTAAATTTCATGTTTTTTTTTTGTCTGTTGTTGTTTTCGTCATCTCTATTAATTCAAACGAAATATAGTTTTTGGTTTGAATTTTTACTAGAATCGTTGGACTCAGACAGAAATAGTCATTTGCATAGTCGACCGTCGCGTTACTCTATGTTTCTTGCAACTCCTGTTGTTAGTTCTGCAAACAAAGGATTAGATCAAATGAAGCGACGTCCATCTCCTGTTATGTCTCTTGTTTCTCCACGCTATGACGCTGTTAAAGACTGTTACCGTAAAAATGATTTTTTGGGCGAAGGTGCAACACGTAACAATTCGTATTTATCATTAAGAAAATACTCTGACGATTGCTTAACAAAAAAATCTTCTCGCTCATCTTCTGATATTACAGCAATAAGACACGATAGTGCTGATAAGCTTAACACGGCGCAATCTCATACAGACGAAAGTTTTGTTTGTGGGGAATTTGAAAACACTGGTATGTACAGCATAGGAGCAGTAAAAAAAATGGACTTCAGTTCTACTTATTCGATACCTCTTTCAAAAAGCAATCCAGGTATTGCTCAAACTCGCATGCACGCCTCGCCAAGTACACTTCGACGATTACAAATGCTAGCGCTTTCTCCATCTCACAAAAGGGTGGGATCTTTAGGGTATATGTATTCCCAGTCATCGCTAGCAAGTAGCAGCGAGTATTCTGAGATGTCGTGGCCAGATGTTGTACCAGAACAAACTTTGGTGTAAAAATAACAAATTAAAAGAATTTTCGAAATAACTTATTAAAGCAACTTTTAATACGGCGCGTTTAATCTTTTTACAAATGTTATTACTTATTATATAAACAGCAAACTTCATAGTAAACACGATATGATTTTAACACTACTATAAACTTGTTTATTTTGTTTTTAATTTTTGCTTGCGCTAGGACAAATATTTTTTAAAAGCATCGCGGTATTTATTAAAGCTGATTTTCTATTGGTTTTAAGATGTATATTGATAAAATATTTTAAGACATAATTTCACAGAATCTATTTGTAATATTTTGTTCTAGTTTTTTGTTGTTTTTTAAAAAAAATTTAAATCAAACAGCTATTGTGATATATCTTATTTATTTTTAAATCTATTGTTTTATTTGCGTTGGTTTATTTAGTGCATTTCTTCTGCTCTCAATAGGAGATTTAGGCAATTTAAAATTTTTTATTTCATCCTTAAACTCAAAGTATAAGTTAATATAAGTTATAGCTTTTTAACTACTGAAAATGTTGTAAATATAAAGATGATGTAATACTTTGTCATAGTTTATTTATATTATATAACATGTTTTTTCATATAAATTGTTATGATTTTTAAACAATTTTTTTTAATTTATCTTTGTTAAAAAAGAAACATTTAATATTTTAACTAAAATGTAACGATTGTCCTATAAACCAATATAAAATACTTGCAGGTGTACCTAAAAAATTACCAAAAACCGTAAATCGGAGATATTTGGAATAAATTATAAATATAACTTAAGGTAGTTTATTTTATAGCAAATTGAAATTGCAAAAAGCAGTTGTTTTGGATAGAACTAGGTTCAAGCTAAACTACTGTTAAGATTTGATAAATTATACATTTATATAAATTATACAATTATAGTGGAGTGAAGTCATTTTTTATCGTTTTCCAAATTACTTGTTCTGACAATGAGAAGTAACATTTGGGCAATTTTGAACTGCAGAACTATATAAATTTCTTTTATCTATTTTTTTAATTAAATCAATGATCTTTAATTTTGTCATATAATACAGGGTGTTAGATCGTAGTGTCTGTTTGAGAATTAGTGTCTGTTTGAGAATTAGTGTCTGTTAGATCAGGGAATTTAGATGTCTTCAAAAAAATCTGGGAAATTAGGTCAAACTTTAGAAAAATCAGGGTTTTTATTATCTTATTGTAGAAGCTCTTTAATTATGAGTCTTTCTTTTTTAAACTCAATTTATCTCTAAGAAAAGCAGTTATTTTTTTTGAGCTTGATTAATAGTTAGCTTTTAGTAACTAACTAGTATTTAATTTGTACTAGTTAGTTAACTATTTCATGTTATTAGTCAGTTGTTTTTATTTTCTTTAGACTAAAACAAATTTAAGTAAATTAAATAATGAACTCAACATATGTTGATGATCAGTGGTTACAAATTCAAGAATTTAAAGTAAAAAAAATAAATAATATTATTAATAATAAAAAATAAAATAAATAAAGTGTATATATATATATATATATATATATATATATATATAGTGTGTGTGTGTGTGTGTGTGTGTGTGTGTGTGTGTGTGTGTGTGTGTGTGTGTGTATGTATATATATATGTATATACATGTGTGTATGTATGTATGTGTATATATATATATATATATATTTTTGTATGTATTTAGGTGCTTCCTGAAGTCCTTACGGTCTTATCATAGAGCACCGCGGAAACCCCGGACCTCTGGATTCTGAGCCAGAACTCTAACTGCTGCGCCACGGCTGCTATATATATATATATATATATATATATATATATATATATATATATATATATATATATATATATATATATATATATATATATATATATATATATATATATATATATATATATATATATATATATATATATATATATATATACAGTAGAAGTATATATATATATATATATATATATATATATATATATATATATATATATATATATATATATATATATATATATATATATATATATATATATATACATATATATATACAGTAGAAGTAGTAATTACAAAGCTAATTACAAAAAATTATTTCTAATTTTACTTAATTAACTTTTTATAAAGACATTGATTTTTTTTGGAGTTTTATACCCAAAAATGTTGAACCTTCTTTGATTTCCTTTTTTTAGGTATTAAAGTATAGAAAAAAATAAACATATATAAAATAGTTATTATACCAGAACTTATATTATGTTTGCATCAATACTATATTAATGTATCAAAGTTATATTAATGTATTTTTATCAATCTGGTACGTAATAATTTTATATATATTTTTTTCTTTTTATCACGATAATAAATATATATTTTATTTAGGTATACCTGGAAAAAAAAAAAAAAAAAAAAAAAAAAAGCTTGGTTAATGTGTGGGGATACAACTACCTCAGCAAAATTTAGAGTTTGTCCATATCCAAGAAATAAAATTGAACTGTCTAATATGGGCCTGAGAGCGTTAAAAAGTCATTCAACAGGAAAGAAGCATTGTGAACGTTTGTCTCTGTACTTAAAAATGACACGTATACCATTTACCAATGTGTCAAAATATATACATGTTGTAACAACCACTTTGTCAGAAAACACCGTTTAAGTTTCTACTCTTCAGTCGCATGTTGTGTCAGATTCGGTTATTGATGAAGAGATCAGATGGACACCTAAAAATGTTTTGTCATCATTTTCTTTTTGATCTAGTGATGGACTTTCAATTTTGTTTAAATCAATGTTTCCTGACAGTGCTAAACCTGAAAAGTTCTCTCTTCAAAAAGACTAGTGCTCATATTGTATAAATTTTGGAATCCTCATTTTCAATCAGTTCTTATTAGAGATATAGATAAGTCAGACTTTTATGCTGTTTTTTTCGATGAAAGTCTTAACTAAGTTGTGCAAATGGGGCAGATGGATCTTGTTGTTAATTATTGGGATAGTGTTTTAAACCGTGTTTGTACTCGTTACCTAGATTCAACCCTTATTAGACATAGTCGAAGTAAAGATCTTCTGCATAATTTTTTGTTGCGTTTAAAATCTTTAAATAAAACCAAATTTATTCAAGTATCTATAGATGGCCCAGATGCAAATTGGGCCTAAAACTGTGCCGAAAATGACATTAACAAACTGATTCCGACTGGATCTTGTGGTCTTCATTCGAATCATCTATCATTCAAAACTGGGGAAAACAAAACAGACTGGGGTACTAAAAAGATTTTAAAAACTCTTTATAAACTTCTCCATGATTCTCCTGCAAGACGGGATGACTTTAGTGTTGTGACTGAAAGTAATCAATTTCCTCTTCCTTTTTTTAATACTCGATGGGTTGATGATGAAAAGGTGGCTTTAAGAGCTGTTAATATTTGGGAGAGCATTTGTAAAATATGTAGGTTTGGGAATCTCTACCTTGGAGAAAGCAGCCTTCATGTATAAGCAACCAAATTGTTTTATCTGCTACTAAGGATCTTCTAATCTTAGCAAAATTTTATTTCTTTACTCATATAGCTCATATTGTGCAATCCTTTTGAACCATATATCAATATGCTAAACCTATGATGCTATTTTTATATGACGACCTTTATCGACTATTAAAAGACATAATGTCAAAGTTCATTGTAGCTGATATTTTAGATATATGTAAAACTGCAAATTGGATTTTACTAAAGAAAAAACTATTTAAAAAACCCAGATATTGGATGTGGGGCCAGCACTGTTATAAAGAATAAAAAAACAAATGATAAAATCACTTCAAAAGATATTTATGCTTTCAAATACAGTTGCATATGTTTTCTACAGTCGTTGACATTTTACAGTAATTTTGTTGAAAATTCGCCTTTAAAATATGCCATTGTGCGAAATGTAAAATGTTTTGACCCAGAAATAATGTGCAATGAAAAAATGGTAATGGAAAGGATAAGTAATTTGGTTGATAACTTGGTTCAATTGCATTGGGTTACCCCTAAAAGTGGGGTTGAGGTAAATACCGAATTCAAAAGATATTAAAAAAAATATTTTTTCATGAATTTCAACAAAATAGATGATAGATAGGATGAGTTCTTTTTTTCTAAAGTTGGTGGTTTAGATAATTATCCGGCATTGTCCAAATTAATCAAAATGGTGTTGCTTCTTTTTCATAGTCAAGCAGCGGTTGAAAGAGGGCTTAACATTAACAAGTATATGGTTGCAACCTAATATGATGAGTAAATCATTTATAAGCCAGAGAATTGTGTATGACTACAACAAAGTTCTTGACTTAAACCCGGAATCTATAGTTATCTCTAAGAAAACTGAGAGAATCTGTCAAAAAATTACGAAGTCAACAAAAGATTGAAATGGCTACTCGAAAAGAAACTGAGCTTACAGATACCCAAAAGCAAAAAAGTTATTTACTTGCTATAGACATAAAGGACTTAAAAAATAAAAAGGTTATTCTGGAAAAAGAAAAAAAACTCTAAAAAGTGATTCAGAAGCTATTCTTGTGAAAGCTACAAATGATGCTAAAAAAGCTCATACTTATGCTATTGAAGAAAAAGATATTCTTGAAGAGAGAGAAAAAATAGAAAAAAGAGATTAAAAAATTAGGTGAAACAACTGATTTATTATTTAAGAAAAGTTAAGAACTTTAAAATTTTAATTATTAGTTTATTTATATACAGCTAATTCTAAATTTATATAGATATTTAATGGATATTTAAAAGTATATTATATAAGTTATTATTTATTTTTGAAAAGATTTTTAATATTGATGGGGCAATACTATATCATTCTTTTTGACAAAAAATAAAAAACTTTGAGTTGTTTAAACTTTTATCATTCTTTTTAAAAATTATTTTAAAATAGACATACACCAATTTACCATTTAATGTATTGTCTATTTTTCATCTTTTAAATATATGTCGATTTTAGCTTTATATTTTACTTTTACATTACTTGTGTAATTCAGTTTATTTTGTTCTAAATGCTATTTATCAAACAGTTTTTAGAGTCAATAAAAACATGACATTTTTACATTTTTTTTTGATTAAATTTTAAATTTACTTTAACAACAAAAGAGATCCACGATCAGGGAAAAATCAGGGAAAAGTCAGGGAAATTAACCTCAAGATTTTAACCAATACCTTGTAATTGTTGTTAAAAAAGTTGAAACAAACAAGAAAATTGCTGTCCATTTCAATATACCAGTTAAATGGGTTGATATTGTTCTCAATTTTGTATTTTTGAATGAAGTTACCATGTAAAAGCCTGTTGAGTAGAGAGGTGAGTCAGAGTGCATCTTGTCTCGTTGTTGATGACTATAGTCTACGAAGTCGACTAATTTAATTCGTTTCACCTATTCAATATATTTTTATTTCTTCATAAATTTTCTGAGCTTCAATAAAGACTTTAAACTATGCTACTTAATGATGATTAGCAGCTCGAAGACAGATGGATGTAGTATCATATTCTTGGCAGACGTTGTTGATGGTTTTCGATCCTTGTCAAAAATTCTTATAGGGTATCCTATAAAAAGGATTCCTATAAGAAAATGGAGCAGGATTTTCTATGGGATAATGCAAATAAAATCTGTAGGAAATT